TGGTGCCACGAACTCTCTGAATTACCTTTGTAGAACAAAGTGTTGATAGGGATCTGTTGGAACTTTGAGGTATGTCGTCTGAAAGAAAGTAATTCGAGTAAACGCGCTACAGTAAACTACGTTTATAACAAACATGCTTATAACGAACTGACGGATATAACGAACATATTTTTAGTTCCGGCCATTTGCTGTACATATGCTGTATATATGAACTACGGTATTACGAACTAAAATTAGTGGTCCCTTTGAGTTCGTTATAACCGTAGTTTACTGTATCTGAATCGTGACTCGTGAAACTAGAGGCGCCAATGTCACTTGAGTGTCACAGTAACACACACAATCGGAGTGTAACATGTTTTATAAAAAAAATATATATTTTAAACTGCACTCTTATAGTATACATCCCTTAATATGTTTCAGTATCATCTGCCGTGTTCGGTCGTCACAGCACAGGAGCCAGAGAGTCTCACAACATCATCGCCAGCCATGAAAACATCCGGAAGCTCGACTGTGCCAAGATGTGTCTCCGTAAGGCGACTTGCAACGCCTTCAACACCAGGTCTCCCTCAATGGGCGTGGTCAGATGCGAGCTGCTGATCGTGGCCCTTGACCCCGTCGCTAATGCAGCATGGAATGTATATAAGATCATTGTGTAAACGTGGTGTTATAGAAAAAGGCAGTCCTCGCACGATTATATTTAGCAGTGTGTGCATCGCGAACTAGATCAATAGCGCTTTTTAAATACATCATGTGCACGTTTATCTTTCAGTCGGTTCTGGTAATGAGCGTTCGCTTACTTACTTACTTACTTACTTACTTACTTACTTACTTACTTACTTACTTACTTTAACGTGCGCTTTCCGACATTATGCGTATTTCGTACATGGCTGAACGTACGTTGCACACCCTGCTAAATATAGCCGCTCGCAGTCACCTGACTGTTGACCTCTGCCCGGATTGTAGTCACGTGATGAGAACTCAATGATGACGTTTATCGCTAACAAAAAGGATATTTCTAGAAAAATCGCACAATGCATTTTTCGTCACTACTGAAGGTAATATTTCTTGTCGCCTGAATGGCTTTTTTTTCACTTTATACGTATTAGCCCACATGCAGCTATCGTCTTTCATTAATAATAACGATATTCTATTTCAAGAAGCGAGGACTATTCGACTTTCCGAAAAGTGTTGTTATCTCCCTTTGCAAAGAAAATTAGAGTGATGTCCCCTTTTCACGTTCACTTCCGCCGAGTAAACCTTCAAAATGGCGGCAAATAACAATATTGACGTTGATGATGAATTCCATCAAATGACAGTTAAAGAATTGCGTGAATACCTACGGGAACGAAATCAAAAGGTGACTGGGATAAGAGCACAAGTTTTAGCGCGAGCAAGAGGGGCGAAGGCACTTCGTTTGGATGCAACCACCTTAGTACAACCAAGTAAAGGCGTTATATCCTTGCAACGGAAGCTCGTCACACCCAGCGGATATCGAATGCCAGACCCCACTACATTAATGATTGGATGGAACGATGCTGTTGAATCATTGCCGGAATTCTCAGAGAAGGAAATCTACAATTATATGGTACTTAGCAACCATAGGACTTCAGACACGAAACCCATGATGGCTAAACGACAAATGAAGGCAGTGGTGTTTTACCAAGATAGACATGTTCACGGCGTAGCTCTACACAACATCCATCACGACTGTGACCATATGTTTGTCAGATGCCGTGTCATACCATCACTACCAACAGCGGATCCTAAGAAAAGCCCCGATCACGAAGTTTGGGCAAGTCTCTCAAAAGTTACAGGTCGTGTTCATTCAGCAAATTGTACTTGTGCAGCTGGGTATGTAGACTTTGCATTTATATAACTACAGTCGTGTCATCTATATCTAGATCGCTGTTTTTTTACAAACAAAACGTTTAAAAACCTTTTCAAAGAAAATATGTTCCAAATATTAAGTTTGATCAAAAGATTTGTAAATTATTAATTCCAAATACCAGCAAAGTAATTGATACATTTTAAAATCTCTTCCTTTGTGGGACCTCTCATTCACTTTTGTTAATTTAAATAAATAAACAGATTATTGATATTGTTGCTTATTAATATGTGACATCTTTAGCTGATTACATTAAAAATAATAATTATTTAGGGTGAAATAGAGGAAACATGACTGTGTCATTTTATATGCATTTGATTGTTATTTCATAATATTAAAGCTAGAGTCCAAATAATATTAATAAATATAACTAATTTTGTTTTTGCAGTGCCGGGGAGGCTTGTAATCATGTATCAGCCCTGCTTCATGCCCTTGCAGACATTAGTCAGAAGAAAAAGGATGGTTTGCTTTCATGCACATCAGTTGAGTGCAAGTGGAAAATTCCCAGAAAAAGGAAGTTGGATCCAATGAAATCGGATGACTTGAACCTGATGTCAAGTGGCAGGAAGAGTCAACAAAAAGGTACTGGGACTACACAAGGTACTGTCGGAATACAGAATGGAACAATCAACAAAAGATCAATGTGTCCCAACAGCAACATGCCACAGACAACAATAAATCTCACAAGATTTAATAAGAAGTTAATTGGTCATGAAACAAAAAGTAAATGTGGATATGTTGTTAATACAACTACTGTTACTCAAGCTCCTGAACCTATGCCAGAACTTCCAAAAATACCATGCATTGATCGTTGTATTCCTGACTATGTTGATATTAAATCGCCAACCTGTCAAACTACCTTTCAAAATTATTTTGATTCCATGAAAGTGTCAGAAAAGGATGTGAGGTCAATAGAGAGAATGACAAGAGGACAACATAAAACAAAGTTTTGGAAGGAAGCCAGATTGGAAAGGATAACAAGTTCACAGTTTGGCAAAGTATTTATCCGACAGACATCTACAGCTCCAGATAGACTTGTATGTGACCTAATGGGATATCGGGGCGAATTTGGTAACAGACATACCAGATGGGGACTTTCACATGAATCGGCAGCAAGGCGGCAGTATATCAACAAAATGGCAGGTCTTCATCCACAGTTGAAAGTGTCCCAGTGTGGACTAATTGTGAATACAGACTACCCTTACCTTGCAACTAGCCCTGATGGACTTGTGTCATGCACAGATTGTAGTACATGTAGTAATCAACATGGCTTAGTAGAGATTAAATGTCCATCTGTTTTCAGAGATCTAACACCAGAAGAGGCTGCATCAAATACAAATTTCTTCTGCCATATTGTGGACAAAAATGTGACTCTAAAAGAAAACCATGCATACTACTTTCAAGTACAAGGACAGATGGCCTTGACCAAAAGAACTTGGTGTGATTTTGTGGTGTGGACACTCAAAGGGATATCTATTGAAAGGATTACATTTGACGAGAACAAGTGGCATCAGATGGTCACAAGGCTTCGCAGCTTCTATCTGTCAGCCATTATTCCTGAAAAATATACCCTACGTGTCCAGCGAGGTGTTTCACTGTATTAGATTGACCGTTGCACTACCATCTTACCAGTTGTTTTACCCTATGCTCACTCAGTCAATTCAATGTTTCACTCAATACCATATCATATCTTTCTTTGATAGTCATAGATACTTACCATTCAATCGGTGAATTGTTACTTAACGCCGCATTCACGGCGACTGACCATTCAGATAGTATGTCGCTTAGACATAGGATATCTTCTTCTCCTTGTAATTTCTTGAACCATTCTATTAAGCCATAACATATAATAACATATTTTCTGTAACGTCTTGAAATGACAACATGGACAACATGATTTAAGAAAATCATCAAGCGTTTATTTCTTTCATTTTAGTTATTGTCACAAAAATTAGAACCATGGGACTATGATCCTGCTGTCACAGCTAAAACATGAAATTGTTTATGTTCTTATATGAAGATAAACTCACACTCATGAGTACACAAAAAGAACTTTTAGAACGCCAGCTTGTTTCCGTCAACGAATCAGTGAAACTGTTGGAAGATAAAATTATCTCCAAAGCGGATCAACACTCTCAAAACATCATCAACACTGCTTGTCAAGCAGTCAAAGACAGAGAGCACAAGTCCACACATGAAAAATTCAACACCAGATTTGTTAGCCTACAACAGGCGGCTATCAAATCTGACCCCTTCGCCGCCAAACTATACGTGCAAGGGACCCCGACCCAGAAACGGGCCAAATCTCCCAAGTTTCGCCCCTCGAGACAACCATCACGTGATCGAGCTCGTGGACTACGCAGACCACGACAGAACTTCCGCCCCGACAGGGGCAATCAAGGAAACAATTCGCGGGACCTCAAACGGGCCCTAGAGCTGTTGTCGAAACACCTCAACTTCAACAACAACAGTTTGTGCAATAAACTTTCTAATCTGAATCTGAACAATAACTCAGATAATAAAACTGGTGAATCTTATCATGACAACTTTGTTATCAATCTTTCCGATTATGACCTTAATCCATCTGAATTAGAGGTTCTTAACAAGGGACTCACTTTTAGCCCCACCCCTAGATTTACTGACAAAAGTAAAACCTTTTCCGACCTGAAACAATTTTTCAGAAAATTATGTCTCACTCATTTTTTCCATGATTCTTCCATTGATGGCACTTCACACCCGCTCCAAAACACACTGGATCACAAATTCGGTCCCAAAAGCACTTGGACCCCTAGACCTTATACCGACCCAACACTAGAGTCGTTTATCAAAGCAGTCTCCAATGATTTTAACAAACTTGGTAATATAAAATTCACATCAGTCTGCTTGTTTACTCTGCTAGTTACTCTGTGTTCATTAGTCATCCACTGGCTTCCAATTAGCTTAATCACCTCTCTGTGTCCATCAACTAGTCACTGTAACAACTTAGATGTCAATAAGTGTATATATACCTTTGTTGTTTAGCCCTATCCATCACTTGCTTGATAAAGGTGTTAGGATCTACACCGAAACGTCGCACTAATTGTAATAAAGAAGTTGTTCATCCAAAGAACTTGTCTTACTTCAGGACAGTACTACACTACCCACCCACCCACCAAACCGCAAATTAGCGGCAAGGTAGTCAACTTCGTAAATGAGAGTTGCAAAAGAGAAGGATGCAAAATCTGCAACTCCTTAGGTAAAACACATACGTTTCGCAGCTCGACATTAGGCAAAACATTCAAAATCCACAAGTTTGAATGTACAAGTAAAAACATAGTTTACTTGCTAACTTGTAACAAATGCAAGAAACAATACGTTTGAGAATCCAAAAGAGAATTTCAGACTAGACTGAAAGAACACTTTGCAGACATCAGCTACAAGAGAGACAAACCTGTAGCTAATCACTTCAATAGTGATGATCACAGCACCAAAGATGTTAGATATAACATCATAGCACAGCTCAAGGAAAACCCTGAGTCTACTGACACCACAGTTAAGAGGAGAGCACTTGAACTGAGGTGGATATTTGAGCTAAAAACGTTCCACCCGCACGGTCTCAATGACAGAATGGTTGGCTGATTAATTTTCCCCCTTTGGTCAACTTGCTACTTAGATGAAGAGTCAGGATTTTTATATCAATGCTTTGATTCAATAAGTAAAACAAAAATAGACAACCAGTAGGTGGTCATGTCAATAGTCATATTGGACAAAAATAGACTTATTTGTCTAGACTTATTTGGCTCAATGTTTTCAATACAAAATTGTTATCATGATACCATGATTATTAAGTTTAAATACAGCAGAAAATATCATGTGACCATTCACATCTGGAGCTGCAATAAGATTATGCTAATCCTACTAATTACAGAGCAAGCAAGGAACTGTCATCAAAGAAGTAATTGTCATCAATTTCTTGGTCATGAGGATAAAGAGGGGGAAGCAGAGTAGTCAAAGCATTACAGATTTTCCAGATTTTGTTTACAGATTTTGAAATTGTAATTGGAATTATACCCTGCAAAATTCTGAAATTCTTGACACGTTCCATGTGCCTTTCAACATGGATTCTCAAGTTCGCTATTCTCCTAGTTTGTTCAATTTCTACAGCAGTCAGCTGTTTTCTCTTATGTTTCTTTGGTGGAATTATTAAGAGTATACCTCTTGGTGTTGTCAAGTCTGAGATTGTAAATCCCTTATCCGCCATGATTGCATCACCTACATCACACAAATCTAAAAGTCCTGATTCTACTGTTATTTGCCGGTCACTTATAGACCCTGACCACAAGTCAGAGACAAAGCTAACAACACCATTTGGAGTGACACCAACAAGCGCTTTAAATGTTATGTGACTTTTATAATGACTGTACATTTGTGACTGTTTACCAATAGAGTAAGGTTTTTCTGTAAATAATTCTGTACAATCTATAACAACCCTTGTATTTGGATACAGATCTTTAAAACCTTGAGGCATAGTTGTATTAATAGTATCCATTGATGGCCAGACAACTAGGAAGGATAAATTGTTGTACAAAATATCAATCCATCTATTAATGACATCAGCACAGCAGCTTCTGGAAATATGAAATCGCTTTGATAAATCAACAACTAGGAGTCCAAGTCTAAGACGCATCAACACTAGAAAGAACTCGTCTATCAAAGACAAAGATTTAGGGCGTCCGATATTGGATGTTGGATAGTCCCTGTCATGAACCTCAGAAAACTCGTCAAATAAACATGAAAACTTTTCTGCATCCACAAGACCTGTATAATAGGTTACCAATTCTGAATCATTCTTCACATCAAAAAATGTTAAATCAGGAAGTTTGACTTGAGTGGCTTGATTGCGAAAGACTTTTTTATTTTCAGTCTCAGTCTGAGTCATTGCACAGGATGTTTTCACAGGATTTAAACACTGGAACATTACATCGTCAGTTTGAGTAGACATGCTTCTAACTTCCACCATTTCTGTTTGCGATGATCCATATCTTATGCAACTGATGTCGTCTTCACACACAGCCTCACAGTAGTCATGCAGCATAATTGATGCAACGTCATAGGATCTGTCAAAATAATAAATAGCTTTTCATCACATTAAATATATAGTTTTTTTTCCGATATTTTGAGGTTAAAGGAATTAAAATTAATAAAAAATAAATTAACATAAATCTGTTAATACAAAAGCTAATATAAGAAGTGTATTATCAAGTTTATTGGTCAATGCTCTATTATATTTTATGCTCTCTATATATATTTTATGCTCTTTATATTTTATTGTTCTGTAAGTAAGAGAGACTACACCATGATTTTTATATTTTGTCTTGTTAAGCATAACTTCTCATAATAATCAACAAATTCAAAAAAGAGAAAAAACTTATGTTCCCGCTGTACCTGGCACCTTGACTGAATGTTGTGGAATGATGTTCAATTTCATCAGACTGAGGAGTCCCTCCATGTACCTGCATAGTCACTTTGGGAGATTCAGGGTCACAGGCCTGCTTGAATGGGCTTTCATTTGGCTTCGAGGTATCAACAAAGTCAGCATCAGACACCTGCAACAAATTATCAACAGACACTGAGACATTTTTTTTCTATTTATTCAAACAAATAAGATGAAAGAGGATACATAAAATTTTAAGATCAACACAACTTGAAACGATTTTGTTTGTTTTTTTCATTTCAAGTTTTAATCATAGCACTTTTTTCACAATCACATAACATTCACAAACGATAAAACACATTAAATACACCAACAATAGCATAAATCTTATAAGAATCAACATAACTCACTGTGCAAGTACTGTAATTTTTCTTCGGAAAAATCGATGGAACATCATGCCCTATGCCTGGACCGTTACCACCCACGAAATGTTCTGAGCATATTTCCGTGTGCTTGGTCACTGTGAGGTCTTTTCTCACTAACCGAAGTCGCCTTATCCACGCTTGTCGTAGGGACTTGCTTACTGGAATGACGTGTAGAGATACTATTCTTTCACCGACTATCTTTCCCCTAAAATTGCTACAAATACAGCAGTATTCCTTCCCCATTTTGACAGCTTCGAAGCAGCGCGCTGTTTTCGACGGAAGTTGACAGTACTCGGCGGAAGTTCATTCAACCAATTGAAGAGTTCCAACTCAAGACGGATAACTCTCATTGAACTTGACTTTTCGGAAAGTCGAATAGGTTCAACAGTTTGCCTTCAACTTAAGGTCTCCGTATATGGGCGTGGTCAGAAGCGAGTTGCTAGCCATGGCCCCTCGTTCCTCCGCCAATGCAACATGGGATGTGTATACGATGAAGGGTGTTGAGTGTATAGCAGAGTGAGTGAGTGAGTGGGGGTTTACCCCGCTGTTACCAGTTTACCAGCTTTACCACAGTAGAAGATACCACATTTGGTCTCCACTGCTCCCATGCAACGAATCAACCCCGGCCTTTTTGATAATAAGTCTAGGCCTGGAAATCATTAGGCATACGCCTGGAAAGTAACTGACTTCGGCGGCGAACAACATTCACTTTGGTAAATTTGAAATTCCTAAAAAAGGCAGTTTATAAACTAATTAATGTCAATATTATATAATAGAGGCGGTCGGGTAGTCTAGTGGTTAGAGCGTTCACTCGTCACGCTGAAGACCTCGGTTCTAAAGACCTAAAACCATACCCACTCACTCTCTCACTATACATTTTGGAACGCACAAGCAGCTCTACGTCATCTGCATCTACCTTCTAACTTCTACTGTAACATAGGCGGATCCAGAGGGAAAGGGAACGGAGGGGGGGGGGGGGGGGGGGAGGGGTAGTATGTTGCGGCAGTAAACTCTAGACTGAGAGGAATTCGATATGTTGGACCCCTCCCTTTTAAGAATTCTGTGAGGTAAGCTCCTTTCACGTGTCGTTACCTGAATAACATTTGATTTTTTGTTCTAAATGTGGGATTCTTGCTACTGGTGGCGCCAGATACTTCTAGTTTTTGTGCAACGCCAGCAACACCATTTTCCTTTATATGTTGTTGTATATGTAATATCTGTAAATGTTCCATTTACTTAAACCTATGTATGTTTTTAATATCTGCAATACTGTATTATTCCATCTGTGTACAACTTATCATTATCTATAAGGTATCACAAATATACTCTGCTCCTTGAAAAAGGTCTATACCGCACAAGTTGCTTTTTGTCATTTGTATCTACATTATTCTAACTTTAAGGACGACAAAGCTTGAGACGAACGCTATCTCAGTTCTGGGCTAGTATTGTTGATTTTCATTATACATTTACACGCAAGCTCTTAACTCTTGCTTCAGACCGCCTCTGGGGTCTAGTGGTAGAGCATCTGCCTTGGATGGGAAAGTCGAGGACCCCTTTCCCGGCCGCGTCATACCAAAAGACGGTACTTGATGTTACCCTGCCTGGTGCTCGGGATTAGGGGGCTAAAACAAAGACTGTCCCGCTCGGAGTCAGTCTACTGTGTCTGAGTGGGGTATTCATGTTACACTGCAGCATTGTATCTCATTGGCCATATAACAAAACACACACGCACGCACGCACGCACGCACGCACGCACGCACGCACGCACGCACGCACGCTCACACACACACACACACACCAGGCTTTACGAAATCAAGCCCAAACAGCCAATCAAAAAGTTCTTCACTGTGTCAGGCCGTCGGAGTTCAAGTTCTTGACCAGACAATTAGAAATCGCCTGCATGCTCGGCGACCACGTGTTGTACCACTGTTAACAAATTGGCACATTCTTGCCAGACTCCAGATGAGACCAGTGTCAGTCTGGACAGGCGTCGTGCGAGGGTCCACGTCAAGCAACATGACAGATTTGGGGTGAGTTTGTAATAATATGAGGCTTGATCTTCATGACAACCACTCACTCATAAACACCTCCCCCCTGCCATCATCCCCACGTGTACACACGTCCTGGGACTAGGAGACACACACTCACACACACCTCCCCTTGCCACCCTCCCCACGTGACAAGGGTCTAGGATACACACACTCACACACCCCTCCCCCTTGCCACCCTCCCCAAGTGTACACACGTCCTGAGACTAGGAGACACACATTCACACACCCCTTCCACTTGCCACCCTCCCCACGTGACAAGGGTCTAGGATACACACATTCACACTCCCCTCCCCCTTGTCGCCCTTCCCACGTGTACACACGTCCTGTGACTTGAGACACGCTCATAATACCCACCCCCTTGCCACCCTCCCACGTCCTGTGACTAGGAGACATACACTCATACAACCCTCCCCCTTGCCATCCTCCCACGTCCTGGGAGTTGGAGACACACACTTACACACCCCTCCCCCTTGCCACCCTCCCCACGTGGACACACGTCCTAGAACTAGGAGCCACACACTCATACAACACCACCCACACACACACACACCCCACCCTTGCCACCCTCCCTACGTCCATGGACTAGGAGACATACACTCATACAACCCTCCCCCTTGCCAACCTCCCCACGTCAACTTTCCCTTTATTCCCTAATGATGTCCGATGCAATTCCCTATTTTGACTTGTACCCTATGTTCTCGTGTGGTTTTCTTGGGGGTGAACAAATGACTTGCCTTTGCATGTGTTTGTGACGGTTGTCATCGTGGGGGCATGATACGATCACCTTGTCGCGAACACCTAGTATCACTATGGGTTCATGTTGAGACGCGATTCCACGATACTATCGCATTGCATTTCTCCATTTCGACTAAATAAAAAAGACAAAGGTGACAATTTAGTGTTTGCGCACTACATCATACGGATCAAATACCAAGTTCATGGACAATGGAAAATGCTATGAAGTGTTGTTTACAATGCCTTGTATTTCTTAGCTTTTGTGAACTAACTTCTCCATAACAAGACTTTCAAAAGAACTTCAGATGTGTGGGATTTTTAGATTAATTCCTAAAAGCTTCGGCATGAATGATGAAGTGTTTGATGTTGGCAGTTCGTTAATAATGAGACCATAAGCGCCATGAAACACTGTTTGCATATATGGACCATTGAGAAAGCAGGATCTCGTATCGATTGATTGGCATGCCTGCGATACCAGATGAGTACTCCAGGTTTGAGGTGGAAGTGCTGTCAGTCTTTCATTCAATAAAAAATATCTCTCTCTCTCTCTCTCTCTCTCTCTCTCTCTCTCTCTCTCTCTCTCTGTCTGTCTGTCTGTCTGTCTGTCTGTCTCTCTCTCTGTCTGTCTGTCTCTCTCTGTGTCTGTCTGTCTGCCTGTCTCTCTCTCTGTGTCTCTCTCTCTGTCTGTGTCTCTCTCCTCTCTCTGTCTGTCTGTCTGTCTCTCTCTCTCTCTCTGTCTGTCTCTCTCTCTCTGTCTGTCTGTCTGTCTCTCTGCCTCTCTCTCTCTCTCTGTCTGTCTGTCTGTCTCTCTCTCTCTCTGTCTGTCTGTCTGTTTCTCTGTCTGTCTTTCTCTCTCTCTCTGTCTCTTTTTCTCTCTCTCTGTCTCTCTGTCCATCTCTCTCGCTCTCTCTCTCTCTCTCTCTCTGACCAAGGGACGCAACTCTGCACAGCGAATCGCGGCGCCTAAGACAACTGGGCCAACCGTGCCCCCCTAGACACATGCGGACCAATTAGACACAAGGCCTATATGAAAGTAAGATAATATTCCGGAATTCGTAGAAAACAATTAACATGCCTTGTATTTCTTAGCTTTTGTATTTCTTAGCTTTTGTGAACTAACTTCTCCATAACAAGACTTTCAAAAGAACTTCAGATGTGTGGGATTTTTAGATTAATTCCTAAAAGCTTCGGCATGAATGATGAAGTGTTTGATGTTGGCAAACATGTATGACACCCGTGAAGATCCGGGGTAGAATAGGTCTTCAGCAACCCCTGCTTGCTGTAAAAGGCGACTATGCATGTCGTAAGAGGCGACTAACGGGATCGGGTGGTCAGGCTCGCTGACTTGGTTGATGCATGTCATCGATCCCAATTGCGTGGATCGATGTTCATGGTATCAATCACTGGATTGTCTGATCCAGACTCAATTATTTTAAGACCGCCGTCATATAGCTGGAATATTGCTGAGGGCGGCGTTAAACAACAAACAAACATATGTCTGAAAAAGGAGTGCGTCAGACTGATTGGACGCGAGATGTGTATGTTACAGTGTGTTCGAAGTATCGATTAGAACTATATTATTATACTCACTCGTTATCCATTCAGTGTTTGTTGACACCCACCAATGCATTGTCATTAGGAAACAGGGTCGTCATGGACAACCTCAGACAAATAACCTCAAGATTTGAATCACTTGATTGCAGCATAGAGAAGAAGTTGATTTAGGAGGACGATGGCTAAAGCATCGGTGTGTGTGCTGATTGCTACTGTGCTCAGTGCTACAGGTTTGTTTCTCTTTATGTTTATGTTTAGTGTGTTTATTTATACCGTCACCATCCACTACATGTTTCAGTTCATATGTCGTTATTCTATAAAGAAGGCGATCTGGGGATAGAAGGATAATTATAATGTCTCTTTAAGGTTTCTATCAGATTACCGGAAGTGAGTGAGTGAGTTGGGTTTAACGCCGCTCTTAACAATATTCCAGTTATATCACGGCGTGAGATTACCGGTAGTATCTCAAAACTATCTATATGTATATATCTATATTGCTTGTTTTAATGTCGAACAGATCACAGTTCGGTGTTTAGAAAACCTGAAAGAAATATTCGAAACCCTCGGTGCCTCATACATAGCTGCATTAGGGCTAAACTATAAGTTTCATCCAACTGTTTAACCATTTCCACTGATTGAGGTTTTCAAAACTTCATGCAAGTACGACCAATTTTGATACCATCCAACCTTATTTAACGGGCGGATTGATGGGTGGCTCAGTCGTCAAAGGCGCCGCAACTCGCCGTGCAGAGTTGCGTCCCTTGGGCGCACCAGAAACATCTGATTGTGGGTTCGAATCCCGGTTCGCCCCGATAATGTTTCTAGGTTTGTCAGCACCATACCCGTGCTCGTGCGTTGCAACAAAGTGGTAAACTTCGAACTTTCCTCCCACATTGTAACTGGAATACTCTTCGAAGCGGCGTTGAACCCAGCTTACTCACTAACTCATTATTTAACACACAGACAGAGAGACGAAAGGCCTCATATAACACAAGCCACAGGCTTGTTTCGGGACGTTAAAGTCTAATATTTCTTAA